GTTCAGAGTTCAGAGGAGAAGACAAGTCCAGTCTAGTTTCATTTCAGAGCTCAGAGCTTAATACAGCTAAGCCAGGCTCAGACTTCTTACTTAAATTTCTGTTTCCAAATAACCCTCATTGGTTGACTCAGTTGCTATGCCTATTCACTGGCTGACATTCTTGCTATGCCCTATTCCAGTCAGTCCCCAATGGCTGATCTGTTGCTATGTCCTATTCCAGTTCATGAATATTCTGACAATCTATTAATATATGTTTCACAGGATCATACCTATTAGTAAAGTGTGTTCTCTATTAAGTATATAGAGAGTAAAAATGTCGCTCATTTAAACTGTAGAATTATAAGAACTCTAACAATCATTTGAATGGAAATGGTGGTAGAGAACGCAGTAAAGCCTCAGGGATCAATACAAACAAACATGCCTCAAAACAACCCAACATAATGAAACCAACCCAACATATTTTAAAAAATACCTTTGATGATAATAGAGGAAACTGTAGTTCTGAAAACTTATATCCAGACCTTTAACATCAAAACATATTCCCAAGTTGTTCATGGGGCTTCACTGGGGTGAACTGACAATAACAAAAAATAAAAATGTGGGTATTAATAAATGGTTTATGATCATTTACATCACTTCATTTCCAATTATTTAAAGAACTAGCCACTTTCTCATGTCACATTTTTTAAAGAAATCAAATGAAATACAAAAATGCCCAAAAGTCAAATTAAAACTTTAAAATCTCTGCATAAATCAGAGATTTTTGTGTCCCATTATACAATTAAGATGGGGTCTCAGTAGGATAATATAACATTTGGGGAGAAAGATACAAGCCAAGAGACCAGCCACAGAGGCCAAAATGGAGAAGACCTCCACGGCCACCATGGATTTCCCTTTAGTGCTCAAATAGGTTGGGATAAAAGTGATCTAAACACTGCAAAATACCAGCATGGTAAAAGTAATGAACTGGGCTTTGTTAATGCTGTCAGGCAATTTCCTAGCCAGAAAGGCCACCGTGAAACTGACAATGGCCAAGAAACCCAAGTAGGTGAGGACAGTATAAAACATTGAAGCTGAGCCTTCATTACATTCCCAGATAGTCTCTCCTGCCAAGGAGTGGAAGTCCACGTTGAGAAACGGAGGGGAGACTTCCAGCCAGATGGTGCAAATAAGTGCTTGGACCAGGGGACAGGCTAAGACAATGGAGTTGGTCAGTGGTTTTCCTAAGAATTTCCTTGCCCTGTTTCCTGGCTTGGTGGCCATGAAGGCCAGAACCACCATGACAGTTTTTGCCAAGACAGAGGAAACCGCAAGGGAAAACAGAATGGCAAAGGCTGTTTGTCGGAAGAGACAGGTGAGTATCCGAGGTCGCTCAATGAAAAGGAAGGAGCAGAGGAAGCAGAGCAGGAGAGAGACTAGGATGTGTTCATAAGGATAGGGCACTTCCATGATTATTATAGTATTCACTGTGAGAGAGATTGACGTTTCTTTCCCAATATTTACTGAAATCAGAAAAAGACTGAAGGATCCGTCAGCGAGAAGTCATACCCTTCCATGTATTCATGCATTATTTTTGTGTTTGTACAGAGAAGATCTAAATGCAAAAGAGAAAATAAAAATGTCTACTGTGTT